CCTAGTCTGACTTCCTGCAGAACACAGGCCATAGAACTTCCCCAAATTAATTTCTCTTGAGTCAAGCTGCTGTTAGCTCAGCCACTGCCACTGACTGCAACAGAGGTTGTATGACAAAATAGCCCGACCCACAAGAAAGTTAGTCACTGAGTAAGTTACTAAGAGGCTTTATTAAGCTTTGACAAAATAGGTAAATAAAACAGTGAGCAAAATCCAGATGTAGATGTCTTCTATGCTTTTAGTAATATTAGCGCCTTAATCATTCTTATGAATCTTAACTTCAAAACACAGCTGGAACTTTCACATAAAAGTATGATCTGAAGTCTGTACATGTAACCTAGATTCATAGCTTCCAAGGCCAGATGGGACCATTGTGATCATCTAGTCTGATCTCCTGCATAACACAGCCCACAGAACTTCCCCAAAATAATTCCTAGAGCAGATCTTTTAGACAAACATCCAACATTTATTGAAAAATTGTCAATGACTGAGAATCCACCATGACCCTTGGTAAGGTGTCCAATGGTTAATTACCCTCCTTGTTAAAAATTTGCACCTTGTTTCCAGTCAGAATTTGTATAGCTCCAACTTCCAGACATTGAAGTAGGTTACACCTTTCTCTGCTAGATTGAAGACCCTATTATTAAATATTTGTTCCCCTCGTAGGTACTTATAAACTGTACTTACGTCACCCCTTAACCTTCTCTTTGTTAAACAGATTGAGCTCCTTGAGTCTATCATTAGAAGGCATGTTTTCTAATCCTTTAACCATTCACAGGGTTTTTCTCTGAACCTGCTTCAATTTATCAACATCCTTTTTGAACTGTGGACACCAGAATTGGACACGTATCCCAGCAGTGGTCATACTAATGCCAAATATAGAAGTAAAAATAACCTCTCTATTCCTATTTAAGATTCTCCTGCTAGACAAATTCAGACTGGAAATAAGGCATCTTTTCCTTTAAAAAAAAAAAAAAAAAAAACAGTGATAATAATTAACAATTGGAACAATTTACAAAGGGTTGTGGTGGATTCTACATCACTGAATTTTAAAATCGGGATTGAATGTTATTTTCTAAAAGATATATTGTAGGAATTATTTTGTGGGAGTTCCCTGGGATGTGTTATACAAGATATCAGACTAGATGATCACAGTGGTCTCTTCTGGCCTTGGAACCTATGAATTAGTCAGTCATTTGGTCCTCCCAACAACATACGTGGTGTGGATTATAGACAACCTGTGTGAACACAGGATCGTTTGTGCTGGCAAGCCTAGAAATAGAATAGCTAATCAAAGGAAGCAGAATCATCTGACCAGCCTTCTTGGAGGTACACAATGAATTATCCAGGATTACTATGATTTGCTTACTGAAGCTTCAGTGTTTATGATTAGAGCTGGGTGAATTTTTTTGGACAAATTAGTTTATTTGCTGAAAAAATGCTGTCTCAATCAACCCAGAGCTATTTGCAAAATTGAGATGAATTCAAAGAATTTTGGCCAAAAATATTTTTCAGGACTTAGATCCCATTTACAACAGGAGAGGTAGAAGCGGCCTCCTTGTAAGTTTAGCCTGGTGGTTAAGACAGTCACCCGGGATGTGGGAGACCAGGTTCAATTCCACCATTGACTTGATCTGGAGAAGGGATTTGGACACAGGTCTCTAAAACTACAGGAGAATGCCCTTTCCTCTAGGCTCTGGGATATTCTGGTAAGGGGCTTTCAATCTCTCTGGTTGAAGTTGTTCCACTTGGTATAAATAGTCATTGGAGCAGGGATTTGAACTTGGCCTCCCACATCCTGCACGAGTCCCTAACTACCAGGCAAGAGTCAGTCTCACTTCTTTTGTTGGCTCAATGGCTATTCACGGTCATTCATAGTGGCAATTTCTAGTCAATCAATGACCGTGAATAGTCATTGGGCCAGGGCAAGACTGAGATTCTAGAATGGATTTTTTCAATTTGATCAATTTTTTCACCATTACTGGGTTTATGGATTTTTTTCTTTTCCTCTTTATTTTTTGGAACTGCCAGCAAACCAAACCAAACCAAATCAAGTATCAGAGGGGTAGCCGTGTTAGTCTGGATCTGTAAAATATGAATAAGTGAATACCCACTTCGTCAGACGCATGCTCCAACACATCTGTTAGTCTTTAAGGTGCCACAGGACTCTGTTGCTTTTTACAAAACAAATCAGTTATTTGCCCAGAACTATGTACGACGTGCCAGTTACATTTGCTGCCATGACAAAGGTATTTGAAGTTACAGTTGCACAGAAACGTGACACAGATTTATCAAATGAAGACCTGACCTGGGACCATGTGAATACATGTAAATCCTGTGTCCTGTTTTATCACACATTCATTTGTATTGGATGCAGTCATTTTATGCATGTTTCTCCCTCTCTCCTTTTATAGATTACAATAAAAATACAAATTAGAAACAAGACAACAGAACACAAGAGTGACGTTCAAATCAGGAAACGCAGTCCCGCTAATTCACTACTGTTACACCCACAATGTCTACTCAGACACTGCATAGCCCTAACTACATGGACATACGCCCCAGGCCTCTGGAGGAGATGGAATCACTATGTCGGTGTAAGAGGGCACTAACATCAGTGTGAGCACAGCTACAGTGTGTACACGAATAGAATTAGCGAGCTGTCAATTAATTGCAGTTAACTCACACGATTAGCTAAAAAAAAAAATTAATCACAGTTTTAATCGCACCATTAAACAATAAAATACCAATTTTTGGATTTTTTTCTACACGTTCAAACCTATTGATTTCAATTACAACACAGCATACAAAGTTGACAGTGCTCACTTTATATTATTTTTTATTACAAATATTTGCACTGTAAAAATGGCAAACAAAAGAAATAGCATTTTTCAATTCACCTCAGTCAGGTACCGTAGTGCAATCTCTTTGTTGTGAAAGTGCAACTTACAAATGCAGATTTTTTTTTGTTACGTAACTGCACTCAAAAACAAAACAAAGTCCACTCAGTCCTACTTCTTGGTCAGCCAATCACTAAGAGAAGCAAGTTTGTTTGCATTTACGAGAGATAATGCTGCTCGCTTCTTATTTACAATGTCACCAGAAAGTAAGAACAGGCATTCGCATGGGACTTTTGTAGCTGGCATTGCAAGGTATTTACGTTCCAGATATGCAGAACATTCATACGTCCCTTCATGCTTCGGCCACCATTCCAGAGGACATGCTTCCATGCTGATAATGCTTGTTAAAAAAATAATGTGTTAATTAAATTTGTGACTGAACTTCTTGGGGGAGAATTGTATGTCTCCTGCTTTGTGTTTTACCCGCATTCTGCCAGATAGTTCATGTTATAGCAGTCTTGGATGATGACCCAGCACTTGATGTTCATTTTAAGAACACTTTCACTGCCGATTTGACAAAATGCAAAGAAGGTACCAATGTGAGATTTCTAAGGATAGCTACAGCATTCGACCCAAGATTTAAGAATCTGAAGTGTCTTCCAAAATCTGAGAGGGAGAAGGTGTAGAGCATACTTTCAAAAGTCTTAAAAGAGCAACACTCCGATGCAGAAACTACAGAACCTGAACCACCAGAAAAGAAAATCAAACTTCTGCTGGTGGCATCTGACTCAGATAATGAAAATGAACATGCATCGGTCTGCACTGCTTTGGATTGTCATCGAGCAGAACCCATTATCAACATGGACTCATGACCTCTGGAAGGGTGATTGACGCATGAAGGGACATATGAATGTTTAGCGCATATGGCACATAAATATCTTGCAACGCCGGCTATAACAGTGCCATGTGAACACCTGTTCTCACCTTCAGGTGACACTGTGAACAAGAAGCGGGCAGCATTATCTCCTGCAAATGTAAACAAACTTGTTTGTCTGAGCGACTGGCTGAACAAGAAGTAGGACGGAGCGGACTTATAGGCTCTGAAGCTTTGCATTGCATTCAAAAATAAGAGTTATTTTTTGTACATAATTCTACATTTGTAAGTTCAACTTTCATGATAAAGATTGCACTACAGTACTTGTATTAGGAGAATTGAAAACTACGATTTATTTTGTTTCTTTTTTACCATGCAAATATTTGTAATAAAAATAATATAAAGTAAGCACTGTATACTTTGTATTCTGTGTGTGTAATGGAAATCAATATATTTGAAAATGTAGAAAACATGAATATTTAAATAAATGGTATTCTATTACTGTTTAACAGTGCAATTAATCACGCAATTAATTTTTTAAAAATCTCGACAGTCCTAATAATTAGGTCGCCTGCCTTACGTTGTCCTAACTCTGTAGTGTAGACCAAGCCTTACAAATGTTGATGTGAAAGAGAAAAGTTTTGTTACTGGAAAACAACCTATTTTATTCAGATTCCACTGAAAAATGCAAGACAGAGCTTTTTCTGGCATCCAGCCCACAGCTATGGAACTCACTTCTAGAAGAGGTCATTATGATAGTCCACCTCAGTACTTTCAGAGCTCAAGAGAAAACCCACTTCAACCTCATTTCACCACCCCCTCACACTCACTGAAAGTAAAAAACAAAACAAAACAAAAGAGAGAGAACTTAGTGTACACGGAGGTATATGCTTTCAAAAATGGGTCCTTTAAATCTGTCTCCCAAGTCCACTTTTAGAACTACACCTATCTAAAATGTGTAGGCACCTACATAAAAATATCTCGATTTTCAAAAATGCTGAGCACGCAGCAGCTCTCACTGAAGTCAATGGGTGCTTCTAGGCATGCACTTGGGGTCAGCTTTTCAGAGGCTCAAATGGTATTTGGGTATCTGTCATTGAAAGTCAATAGCAGTTAGATAGCTAATTGATGTCTGTGACTTTGAAAATCTCCCTTGGATACCACAGCTTTTGTTGGGCAAACACATATCAGGGGAAGTCTTCAGCAGAAAAATAGGGAGATCAAGGCAGGCATAGTTTGACCTTCTCACATTTCAATAAGGATTGTAGAGAACACAATGCACTTACCAGTTACATTCTGTTGTACTTCCAAATTGACATTCACAAAGAATCTGATGCTGTCCCCGGAAACAATTGAGGAATTTACAGTGTCAAAGAGCTCTTCTCCTCCTACTTCTTCTTTGTTCTCACAGCCGTCATCGGTGTCACATTTAAGATAACCTGCAAATAAAAATAACACGTCTTCATTATACTCTTTGCCCTTCACAAGCAATCGAACCAAGACCACAATGAAAAGGTCCCTCATTATATCAAGCCCTTTTCACGAGCAAAACAAAAAGGAATATTTTGCAATTTTACTTTGTGGGTGACATCTCCTCAAGCCTGCAAGAGGATTTGCTACTTCAAAATTGTTACATTATGGCGTTCCTCACATTCAGAAAGCACATCAGACCAGAATAGAGCTCTACCGTGGCCTTGGAGAAGAATGCTGCCCTATATGTTAGCATCAGTAAACCTCTAAGGCCTTCTCAGGGACGGCAAGTTATATGGGCCCGTGGTGCCCGTGCTCCAGGGATATTCAGGGCCTGGGGGCCCAGCTCCACCAATGTTCTGGGCTGGGTCTCTCCCCCGGCCTTACCTGCTGCCCCTGTGCGCCTCCCCTGGAGCGTCTCCCGGCCCCACCTGCCGCCCCCGGATGATTTAAAAGGGCCTGGGGACCCCCAGCCACCACCACCGACAGCACAGTGGGGCTAAGGCGGCTTCCTGCCTGCCCTTGCTCCACACCACTCCTGGAAGCGGCCAGCATGTCTCTGCAGCCCCGGGGGGTGTCTCCGCACGCTGCCCCCGCCTCGAGAGCTGACTCCACAGCTCCCATTGGCCAGGAACTGCGCCCAATGGGAGCTGCGGGGGTGGTGTCTGTGGGCAGCGGTGTGCTGAGACCCCCTGCCCCCTCCCCCAGGAGCCGCAGCCAGAGGGGTGTGCAGGTCACTTTCAGAAGCCACCCGAGATAAGCACCACACCCTTCACCCTCTCCCGTACCCCAAACTCCTGCCTCAGCCCAGAGCCTGCCCCAGCCCAAACTCCCTCCCAGAGCCCGCATCGATTCCTACACCGGCCCAGGGCCCGCACTCCACACCCAAACTCCCTCCCAGAGCCTGCACCCCAAACTTCCTTCCAGAGCCTGCATCCCCTCCCACACCGAAAAATCCCTTCCAGAACCCGCACCCCTCCCGCACCCAAACTCCCTCCCAGAGCCTTAGGCAGGTGTGGGGACGGGGGCAGGACTTGGACCCATTCTGGGCACCACCAAAAATTATACAAACTTGCCGACCCTGGGCCTTCTCTATACTATGGAGCGGGGGGGTGAATTGATCTAAATTACGCAACTTCAGCTAGGTGAATAACGTAGCTGAAGTTGATGTACTTAGATCTACTTACTGCGTGGTCCACACTACGCTATGTTGATGGGAGAGCATCTCCTGACTCCCCTTGCACTTTTCGTTCAGGTGGAGTACAGGAGTTGACGGGAGAGCGATCTGCCGTTGATTTAGCGGGTCTTCACTAGACCCGCTAAATCGACTGCCGATGTATTGATCACTGCACATCAATCCCCCGGTAAGTGTAGACAAGCCCTAAGACTCTCACACAGGCTGTAGTAGCAAACAATTCAGAGAAGTCAAGTAACTTGTGTTGAAAAATATTGCTCTAAAAAAAAAAAAAAAAATCTTAAAAAAAATATATAAAATACAACACATTACGTAAATGGTAAAATTCATTTACATACGCTATATGGAAACATCAAAAATGTATTTGCTTATTGTTATGAAATTCTCTTTTTCAAGCATTAATTGTGTGACTATAGCACTGGTGAAAGGGGAAGGAGCAATAGTCGTGGAGAATGAAGCTTCCCATTTGGCCGCAGAACAGATGTAGCATGAGTAGCAGCAGTGCAAGCGTCCCTACAAACCTAAAGAATGTTGTTCTTTAGAGGCTGGGTATAGTTATGAGGAGGCAGTTCAATGCCAATGTGCATTCAGTACTTGATCTCTATTATCAGACTGCCAACGATGGTGCTAATTAATGCAACATGGGTAGGGGGCTGTGATGTTGAAACTTGTCCAACTGAAGCTGGATTGAGAACAATTCATCTTAGACATACCACTCAAACGCTATGAGATGGGTGGAGGGGGAGAAAAAAAAATGTAGGCCCCATATCTGCAAAGCACAAATGCATCCATCATTTGGGGCGTCAGTCTATCTTTCTGGGCTACCAAACAGATGACCTACAAGTGAGCATTTCTATTGCTCCATTCATGTTCCAGTGAACCCATCCAAGTCAGAAAGCCAGGGTTTACCATTTAATCTACCTTCTAGCAATACAGAAACTTCACTTTGGATTCGTTATTTGAAAACTGAAAGAGCTACAATCATTTTATCTTGCAGGGAAGGAGGTAGCGGATACATGAGAAGAAGACAAGTCTTAATTGTTGTGTCCTAATGGGGTAAGGAACAGGGTCATGGCTGATCAGATGAGATGATACACCAAAAAGGCAGACAAATTTATTAATTACAAGAGACAACTTTAGATCCTTTTGCAGCATTACCATTATAGCTTAATCTAATCTAGTCTCATTCACCACTTCCTTTTATTACAAACCAACTGAAATACCCTGGTGCAGTGTAATTCTTCAAATCAAATGTGATGCATTAACAAGTTTTATATTACCAGAAAAGTTATTTAGGCAATTTCCACCCCTTTTGTGGCAAGTAATATATAGCACTCAGACAAAATATATGGACATATTTTATTAATGTGTTTTTAGAGACAACAGCAAGCTAAAGCAACTAGTTTCAGAACAGAAACAAAAGCCACTTGAATAGAAACCAATATAACATTGATGGAACTTTTTTTTTTTTAATCCTTGTAAGAAATCTAGATGTAAAAAAGACTGCCAAGAAGAAGAGTTTAAACTCAAATACATATTTCAGGACATCAGGCTGACAGTTTGCCACCACAAAACAAAGAACTCCCTAATTTCGAGACCGCAAACAGGAACTCTAAACTATGACACTTGAACTTCAGCACTTCCTGTTGCAAATTATCTTTCGAGGCTTGTTCTTGCACAATGTGCTGACTCAGAAGATACCCATTATGCATCTTCTGGTTTAGGATCAGAAGCCTACGCCAGCTTCCATTCTGCAGAAAGGAGTTCATTGGGTCTATTCAGGTTTTTATGTAAGGCCCACCACCTCAGAGGAGCGCTACCAGGAGTCTCTGAATGCACCTTCTAGAACAAGAATATACAAAATTACCTACTGTGACGGGTTGGATCACAGAAACCCCCTTGGGAGCTGCCACCTGATGTGCAAAGACTACCCCTGCTTCTGTTTTCCCTGCCAGCTCAGGACTCCAGCACCCTGTCTTGCTGAGCGAGACACTCCAGTCTGGCTCCAACACAGACCCAGGGTCTGAATTACTTGTCCCAAAGCTGCAAGTTTACCTGAAAACCAGCTCACAGGAGTGTGCTTGTCTTTAGCACTCAGATGCCCAACTCCCAATGGGGTCTAAACCCAGATAAATCCGTTTTACCCTGCATAAAGCTTATGCAGATGTAAGCGGGGGAATGGTCCCGCTATTGTGGGGAACTTTCCTGGCTTCTGCACTACCCCGGTGAAGTGGGCTAGCGAAAGGATCTGAGTCCTCGCTCCCACTCCCTTTACCCAGAGGCCTCCCTGCCCTTGAGGGCTCCCCTTCCACTCTCCTGTCTGGCAGAGTCCTCGTAACCCCAACAAGGCTGGGCCCAGGATTCCTGGGGGGGCTCAACTCCCAACCCTGCTGTGGTCACCTAGGACAGGGGCTAGGGTGTCCCCACTCCGGGGTACCCTCTCTGCACTGGGCACCTCCCTGACCCACTGATTATTCCATACAATTTAAAGCAAATACAAGTTGTTTAATTAACAATTAATCTAAAGAAAAGAACAAGAAAAAATGGGAAAGGTTAAAGGAAAACACATCACCCCGCTCTGTGGCAGGGAACATCACAAACAGTGTCTCTGGAACATCAGGGCAGTTCACAGTCTGTTCCTTGTAGGTCCCAGGCCTCCTTCTCAGGCCCTGGCTGTGCTGCAGAGACGCTGCGGGTAGGACACTTGCTCTGGCGGTGGCCACACGCTCTCAGGCTCTAGGTGGCAGGACCCTTCTTCCCAGCGTCGCCCCTGCCCGGTCGGGGTTACGATCCCCCTCCAAGTCTGGCCTGCAGAGCCTCTTGGCTGAGGTGTCTCCCTGCGCTGGGCCCACTGCCCAGGGTCCCCCTCGCTCTCCCCAGCTGCTCACTGCACCCAGCTCCAGACTGCTCCAGCCCCGGCTCCAGCTCCAGCTCCAGCCCCGGCTCCAGCTCCACTCTGCCTCAGCACGGCTGCTGCTGCTGCTCTGCCTTCAGCTCCCTGGGCTGCTTCTCTGGCCTCTCTGGCTCTGGTTGCTGCAGCTCTGCCCCCAGGACAGGTCTGCTCTGCAGGCTGCGTCTGTGACTCTGCTCCCAGCTCTGACCTGCTTCCCGGCTGCTTGTCTGGCCCCTCTGGCTCTGGTGGCTGCAGCTCTCCTCCCAGAGCAGCTCTGCTCTCTCTGGGCTGTGCTCTGGCTTTGGGGCTGCAGCTCTGCTTCCAGCAACTTAGCTTGGGCCCCTGCTCTCTCCTTAGCTCGGCCCCACTCTGTCTGACTCAGGCCATTCCAGCTCACACTGAGGATGGGACCCCCCTGGCCTCCTGACTCCCTGATTAGCCTGCCCGCCCTGTCAATCAGGCTGACCTGGAGCATTGGCCTCTCCCCATTGTTCCTGGGGACTGTCAGTCTCAGGCTCCTGATTTGCCATCGACCCTTCCCCTTTTAGTACTGGGAGCTAGTCAATCAAAACACCCCCACTGAATGTTAGTAAGGGGGCAACAGTCCCCTTACACAGAGTAAACTCATAGATTGTTCGCCCTCTATAACACTGATAGAGAGATATGCACAGTTGTTTGCTCCCCCAGGTATTAATACATACTCTGAGTAAATTACTAAATAAAAAGTGATTTTATTAAATACAGACAGTAGGATTTAAGTGGTTCCAAGTAGTAACAGACAGAACAAAGTAAGTCACAAGCAAAATAAAATAAAATGCGCAAATCTATGCCTAATCAAACTAAATACAGATAATCTCACCCTCAGAGATGCTTCGGTAAGT